GTGGAACTTTTGATGCTTCAGTTTGCTTCCGTTTCCTCTAGTCCTGTTGGCGGCCACCACTAAAAAGGGGCCAGCACCATCCTCCTCACTGCCTCCCTTGAGGTACTGATAGACACTGATCAGATCCCCTCTCAGCCTTCTCTTCTCCAGGCTGAACAGGCCCAGCTCCCTCAGCCTCTCCTCATAGGGCAGATGTTCCAGGCCCCTGATCATCCTTGTGGCCCTGCACTGGACTCTCTTCAGCAGCTCCACATCCCTCTTGTACTGGCGAGCCAGTCCTCCTGTGATACCGCCCTACTAAGGCCTCTGACTGACTTCTAGAGTCTTCTTTTCTGAGCTGTTAGTGCTCTTTGCAAGGTCCTGGATAAGTATTTGAGAAATAAACGCAATCCACAAGTTAAGGCAAAGCAGCAAGAACACCTAAATTTGCCTGGGGTTGTTATTTTTATAGGCTTCTGATTGCAATAGTCAGTCCTGAAAAATTATACACGTTTTCCACACCTCAGTGTGGAGAAATATAACTTTTTAATTGGCCCCATTGTTGGGTGTCAGACTGATTTAAAGGTAGCCAGCTTGACTGGAAGCTACATAGATGAGAAATAAAAGTAGATGTCAAAATCAAGACAAACAGGTTGGCTTGATCAGCTATGTCTCTCCAGGGAGAAAGCTGCTCACTCCATTAGCATAAGTATAAAATAATATATTACCCAAGTTCCTAAAATCTGAGATACGATTCTAGTATGTAAAACACAATCTCTCCATTCCCTGGTCACTTTGCAGCACATCAAAATTTCTAAGAAACACATCTAATACTACTGTACTACTAATAGAACTGTCATTTTCAGAACAGAAACAATTCTGTATTTTTAAAGGCACACAGACTCAGACTTCCAAGGATTTATATTACACAGTATCCACTGAAGGGTAATAGATGATGCAATGGACAGCACCGAGGGCCCACTTTGTCTGCACAGTTAGAGCTAATAAACACCTCCAGCAATACTGATGTCAAATTTTGATTGCTTTGACAAGTCACACTACCAAACTCACAGCATGTGCTGTTAAAAAAAGAAAGAATCATAAACACAGTTACTGTGAATTACCTCACCTGCCCCTATGTAGACCGCAGGGACAGAAAATGGATTATTCCAATATTTCTCTAGGATTGTCTCTGTGTAAGCAGTATGAGCCAGATGAATGTTATTTTTCCTATTTTGCATGTTCTTCTGTACGTAGCTGAACAGCTTTTTCTCATTAGATTTTCATAACAAACATTTTTTTGCGTCACAGACATAATTTTCCTCTTCAAGTCAGAGTCAAAAAAATGAAAGCTCAAACCTCTCCTGCCAAACAGAGCAGATGTCACAAGCACAAATTCAGTGCTGGCAGGAGCCAGTGGCATTTTGTCTGCATAATATCCCAGTGAATTCAGGCAACCAGATGCGTCTGTCTGGCATTCACAGACTGCTGTGTCAGCGGTGGTGTGAGGGCTTAACAATAATCTCTTCTGTATGGAGGAAGTTTTAAAATAAGTTCCCAAATCATGATGGCAAAAATCCAGCAGTTAGAAAGAGAGGACAAAATCCTTTCCTTTTTTTTTTTTTTTTTTTTTTTTTTTGGTGGTGGTGGTGGTGGTTTGTTTTTTCAATGTACTAATTCTGAACATCCTCTTTCAGTGGATACTACTAGATGCCACTACAAGGGTTCTACTCTGAACTGTCTTCTCAGAACAAGCTACAAGAACATCAGAGAACCATTTAATTTTTGAATAGTGAGATGACCTATTATTGCTGCTGGTCAAGAAGGGAGAGATGCCTACCTGGTACGTTTCTACGGGCTTGGTTTCCATGTTCAGATCCCAAACTTTGACAGTGAGGTAATCTCTCGTCAGCATGTATCTACCACTGTGGCTGAACTTGACATCTGACACTGAAGAGATAATTTCTGAAAAAAATGATCTGTTACTGGGGTCTTCTGGTTCTTCATAAACTGTTGAAAGAAAAAGAAGTGAGAAAGAAGTTAGAGTTCTGCAAAAGCAGTGCTTCATGACACACCTGCAGCTGGCCAGGCCGCGGCTTTCCAGCCCTGTCCGAGGGCAGCTAGGACTGAACGTGAATTTTGTGGAGAAGCTGCAAACTGCAATTAACTTTTTCCTAAAACACGAGCAGAGGAGAGTGACTTACTAGCTGGAAACATGAACTATTTAGTCCATGAGAGACTGCTGACACTTCTAGGAAGCACTGAACTCACTATATTCACTATTAACTTTTCTGTGTATTACACATCCTGAAAAGGCAAAGGATCATGAAATATGGCTTAGAGCACGTCCATACAGGGCTTTCTAGCTAGCAAATTGGTCATCGCTATTCAACTACATATATATATCTGATGGTTCACACTTAATTGGAGGAATCACAGAAGGGTTCTATGTCTAGAATATTCTTTGGAAATTGAGAATTTGGTGGTTGTCATTTCCAAGTTTTAAAAGCGAGTGAAGAGAAACTATTTGCTGAGACATAGAAAGGTGTAGTAAATAGAACAACTTCTTGATGACGGTAAAAACGGAGGTTTTTGAGTAGTCCTCTGAAATATTTTTCTCTTAATTCATTTATCTATGTGATTCAGACTGTTGAAAGCAACAAGGTTCGAATTTCCATCAGGTGAAATAATGTTCTGCCGAACAGTAAGGGCAAGTAGGTGGGTGAAGCATGAAGGGTAATGCAAAAAATTATGGGTAATTTTCTTTGGGGGTGAAATGCAGCCAGGCATGCACATGAGAATAAGCTCTGTATTTGAACAAGTATAACACATCTAAATGGTAATGAACTACTTCAAAAAGGAGGAATAACTTTTCTTTTTACACAGACTGTAAACGAACAACTTTAAATAACTCTTTAAAAATTTACCTAGACATTCTGCAAAGCAGATATTTTGTAATTATCCTGTCAGATGTTCAATGGAAGTCTGATGAGCACGAAGCAATTATCATTTCTCATACCTCTTTCCTTTAATCTGTCCAAACTATCATCTACTTGGCTGGCAAGAACTTCATCCTCCTTATTATGATGTAAAGTTGCTATCTGAATCAAGAACGAGAAAGGAAACCCACTGCACTACCCCTTCATTTACAGCTGAGATAAAGTTTCTTGGTTATTCCAAACACAAGGCACTGCAAGGCTAATCAAACTCCCAATGACTAGAAGAGCAGCAATATTAGTACTGGATGCTCTGTGTTTTGTTAGGATGACCACTAATGAGATTAAACATTTCATCCCTTATCTGCACTATTTAACGCTCCCTGTGCTTACCACAGGGAGCACTGGAGATTTTACATTAATTAAGCTGCTGAAAGAAAGGCACTGGCAGCAAATTCAGTAGCTGCAATTTTTTGCAAATAGCTCAGCACAGGCAACCAGAAAAATTGCTATAGAAAAAAGAGGAGTGACTCCCAGCTTAGCCACCAGCACCATATGCCTGAACAACTAGGCATTTCCTGAGGCATTGGCCTGAGGAAATGAGGGTGAGATCTGCTATCCTAGGCTCTTAGCTATTGCTGGTTGCAGCGTTAATGTAATGGTATGTGTACACTGCAAAAAGGCATAATCCTAATTCAGTTTGGCTAATGGAAGTTAGATAACTGGAGATAGAACAGTACTGACGGTGATATAACATTGATTTTTGTTCAGGCAAACAACACAAATCCAAGCCTGGCCTTTTCAAGCTGATAGGAGAAGATATAGGAATAGCTCACAGTTCGTTTTATTTCCACACATATTTTGAAGCCAGCTAACAAAATCGGATTTATCGACAAGCTCAGAAAACAGAATTTCTGCCCATTATAGTTTAGACTTACCACTTGACTCTTATGCCACAGGACAATCAGCACCAAAGATATAGGAGACTCTAAATCTATTTTACTTTTATATATATATCTGAATAGATCCCATTAGACTAGAATCTGGACACAGAATTTTGCTGAGATTCAATTATAAACTCTATTGTACTCCTCTATTAATTTCTTGATTAACTTCTTAATAAATATCTTTGGCAATGAAAAGTGGTATTAACTTCCATTATTATTGTTTCTGAAAACCTTTTCAATGCTAATTAGATAAAAGATATAAAACTATCTGCCTAGCTGCAAGCTACAGAACATACAAACCGCAAGCGCCGAGGCATATTTTTTATGTGACACTGCTCAGACTTAGATATGGCTTTGCCAACGGGAACACAGAAATGCTGTGGCACCATGGAGCAAAGTCAAGCGCATCTCCGAGCAGAGCCAGCCCTGCAGCGGAGCCTCCCGGGAAGACACCGCTCCTGCTCCTCGCTCCGCAGGAAGGGACACGGAGAGGCCCCGCGTACACAAACTACAGGGGAAAGGGGATGTCCTAGGAAATACCCTTCTAATACTGCCTCCCTCTTTCATATCACTAGCAGCCTTTCAGTGGAAAACAGTATTTTTCTCAAATTTTCTCAATCTGACATGATTGTGTCAGATTAGAGAGGGATATCAAGGAGCTAGGAGAAAGACATATCACAGAGCATTGGGCACATTCCTCTGAAAAATAACAAGTCGATAGTAACTAAATGATATTCTAGGAGTTACCCAACCCTCAACAACCACCACCAATCGAACATGATCCCACCAAAGGCTTTTTGCTCTTTGTTTTGCTGAACCTATTTCCTAGGTACACATTTTTGAGGGAGTTACTGGGATTTCTAGACTGCAGTATCACTGAAAACTATTATTTTGGTTGCTGGACTGGGCCGTAACCATTCAAGGGAATAAATTTTGGCATAGGAGAACTTCAAAAAAAAAGCTAAAAATATTTCATAGAGTGGGTGCAGTATCACAATCTAATATAAAACAAGTAATCCTATATTCCTCTCAAAATCATCTCAACAAGGAATATTCATGATATTTCAGCATGCATTACTTCAAAGGACCCTGGCCATGTATTTTCAACATTTACTCCCATGTTTCTATTACTTTCTGTTACTTTTGATTTGATGAAATAAAACACAAACTCCTCAGAGCATTGCTGCAAAGCAGATGGTTCAAAGTACAAACATGAATAATGTTTTTCAAAGCAAAAAGAATGATCTATTTAAAGAGAAAGCAATAACAATCTCGCAGATAATGCGGCGCAGGTGTTAGAAAAGCTATGTACGCAATACAACGAAAATTTTATCTGAAACTACTTTTTATTTTCTACAGGATTTTGTAAGTGAATAATGGATTGATGAGATAAAAGAAATGTCAACTACAATCAGTCATACAAATGTTTCATTGTTTTTCAAAGCAGAGACTGAAAGTATAAGCTTTGACAAAAAATTGTTATCATATCCTGAGCTCTTCATGATAACTGCATGCTCCTAAGGCACAAAGACAGAAACCTTGGAATTTCTGTTTCTGCAGACCAAAAGCAAAACTATAGATAAAAACAACATTTTGCTGTTACAGAGCCAACTGGATTTTAAAAGAAAACTCAAGATGACTCATGTTTACATGTATTGCAGAACATGTGCTTCTCTGAAAAGAAGGAAAAAGCAAAAACCTCTAAGACGAAAGGAAGTTCACAAAGCTGTAAAGAATTTTCATTACTCATAGGATGAGCTTATAAACTGCCTAAAAAGTCATTCCTCATAACTGAGAAACAAAATTTCTTCTGAGGCTACTTCCTTTCTGTTTAAGAAAACCTTTAAAACATTTTTCTAGGTGATGTTGTTAATAGCTGATATCCTGCCCTGAAAGCATCTGTTTCTACAACATTCAGAAACAACTAGATGAAAAAGTGAAATTGGGCATGTCTCCTCATTGCTGACTACTCCTGTCAGCAACAAAATGCACTGTAGATATTGGAAAGATAACAGCGACTTCATTTTCAAGACTGTTACTTAGAGTGAAGTTCTCAGAAATTGGGCCCCATGAAAACGACAGCTCTCTTCTCTTCCAAGAACAGCTGCTGGCTGCAGAAAGATCTCCAGTTCTTGTTGAAGCTACGAACGGCTAGAAGGGCGAGTAGGATCCCTGTGGAGGGGTTGGCTGCGGACGCCAGAGCCAGGGAAGGGCAAGACAAGAATTTTTCTTTTTATTATCCAAGCCTGCATACAGTTTGCAGCTATGTTAGCTGCTAAGTTAATGACTTTTTACATATAACTTCTGGGTTATACCTGAATAAGAAGAATATAGGTATTTCAACTGAACCTAGGAATACTAGCAATGGTTCAGGTAATCTCTACTAGGCTTGACGTTGTATAAGCATTGAAAACAGATGCAGTTCCAGGCAAAGCAATTTAGCTTCTAAATTAAGCCTCTCTTTCATTTCAGATCCCAAATGAAAATGACTGCAATATCTGATTAAAATGTACCAAAAAATGGTACTTTCTAATGAACAGAATCAATATGATGAACAGAAAGAAGGGTAGCTGAAACCCAACTGATACAGCCTACTTGGGTTTCCAAGAGGGATTCAATCAGGGCCCTCATAAGGGCTCACAGCATAAACAACTACTGAATAACAGGAAAGGTTCTAGGCTGCATAAGCAATTGAACAAAAGATGGAAATGAAGAATAGGAATTATTCATTATTCATTTTCACATTGGAGAGCCTGTCAGTGAAATTTTGTAGAGCTCTGTGCTTGGGCTCATACTGATCAAAATAATTACAGTTAAGATTGAAAAAGGAAGTACATAAGTGCTGAAAAAGCTTGCTGATAATACCAAATTAGTCATCATAAAAATGACTAAGAACAACTACAGAAATTTTCTGTGGCATTGAATGGCTGGTTAATAAAGCGGCAGAGGAATTTCAGGTGATTAAATACAGAGAGAAACACAATAAAACAGAAAAAAAATCCTAGCTTTATATGTTGACAAATTCTGAGCCCATTTATACCATTCAGGAAATACTGGCTTTATCATGGACATATAAAATGCCCAGTAGCAATCAAAACCAAACTTAGTGCTTGAAATTACAAAAAAA